ATAATTGCGGACAGTCACTGACTTGTACTTCTGTCGGAGAACCCTAAGGGACCAGATCACCAGGTCCTTGTTGTGTTCCTCCTTGTGGTTGTTCATTCATTTGCTGGAGACCAGATTGGACATTATTCATTTGAAATGTATACCGCGTGGTCAGGTTCTCTATCTGGTTCTTCAATAAGTTTGTTAGATCATCAAAACATAAGAAGCATAAGGCAAAGACATTGAAAACCCATCAGAAAGGATTTGGATTTTTGTGAAACTGTTGATGCTTGTCAAGACTTGTGCCTTACACCCCTGATGCTATATCCTCAAGTAAGTATGCCAAAGCCTGTGGCTATAGAGTGGTGCAAGGCTAATCTGTTATACTGTGTGTGGCAAATTGATAACAAGTATTTTGTGTATGTTATTTTCCACTTGGGAGAGGGTTTGATTCGAATTTATGATAGCAATGTCAGTTTGTATTGTCACACCTCCTTCTTCCGCCCTGAGGGGTTTTCACTAATAACTCTCTCATTTCTCTCAACTCCCGTCGCCTCATGGTGCCCGTGAAGGTTTTAACCAATGAGACTCTCTCATTTTATTTTATTTTTCAGCTGGGGATTGGAGCGTGCCGATACGATGCTCTTTGGTGGGGATTCTTCCGGCTATCAATTCGTTTCCAGTTTTTTGATCCTTTTCTCTGCTGGGGATCAGAGTGTTGCTCCTGACTTCCACGTGCATGAACTTGGCACTTCTCGAATACTGATCGGGAGGTCTTTTTTGGACATCAATATGGTTTTTTATGTATGGCTAAAAAAAAGAAAAAGGGGTATCAAAAGGCTCAAAATAATTTTGATGGGTAAAATATTACAACTCTTGGAATCAAACTTTCTTTCCTAAAATTACAAACACAACTTCTGCCCAGTTTTCTTGCTTGGGGATTCTTATTTTTTGTTACACTATGACCGAGCCGTGAGGCGCCTACGTATCCTTCTTTGAGGAATCAGGTCAAACGTAGTTCCCATTTTCTTTGTTTTTTTTCTTGTGACTTTTCTTTTGTCTTTATTATTGTTTTTCTCTCTTTTTATCTTTTGTTTTGATTACTGATTCCAAAAGAGGGATATGAAAGAATAAATAAGGCTCAAACGGGTAAGCAAAGGTTAAAATGTTTTGATAGAAGAAAGAATTGCCTCCGTCATCTCATTCTCCGATAAATGCCAACCCCAAACANTGTATGATGATGGTAAACTAGAAGAACTGGTACAATTTCTCGCACTCATTATGCCTAGGATTTTGATGAAAACTGGCCAGTTGCATACTTAGGCCAAGATGTGCTTACGAAGAAATGGTCCTGGGAGCGTATTATGGATGTGCCATCCATTCAGCGAAGGTAAATTAAATGTGAAATCCATTATGTTTTACTCATTCTTCTAGTTTCTTTAATAATTAATCTTTGATTATTCTAGTGAAAATAGTGGAGCATATGCAGTGAAGATTATTGACTTCCTACTAACTGATACACTGTTGGATCAGCTTAATGACAAGCTAATAGAGTTATTCAGGAAAAAAATTGCAGTTGATATCTTTAGGAGAAGGATGAACCCTTCTTAGTTTTATAATTATAATTTCAATTTATGTTGGTCATGAGACAAATTCATTTTGGGTGAACTTATAGTAATTTATGATATTTGTATCTACCTCTATGTAAAGAAACTACCTTACTGTTTATTAACTATTGATGATGTAATTTTTGTTTTCTTAGCACTTTCCTATTGTATTACAACAGGTAGCTATTTGGTTGTGTACTAGACAATGTGTTTAGTAATAAACTAGCTACTTGGTTGCGTAGTAGACAATGTTTTTAGTACTAATAACTTGATCAAATATAACATTGCATAAGGTATAACCCAGATGTTGCGTGATAGACACAAGGTCCATCAATAAACTAGCTACTTGGTTGCGTAATAGACTCAAGCCGCATTTAATAACTTCAACAAATTTAACATTACATTAGTACAAAGTGTAATAACTGAAACTTTAGGGATAAAGGCTGAACTTTCCCCTTTCACTTTATAATTTCACTTAACCATTAATTAAGCAAGAAGGTCAATCCTACAATAATTAAAATCTGAAGGTCACTTGGCCAATTCAAGTTTGAAAAGAGATCACCTCGCCAACTACCCCCAAGTACATTCTAGTCATGTATTTTTTTGCTTACTCTGTTACTGTTTTATCTTTTTAATTTCCTGATCTTTCTACTTATTTTATTCTTTTTTTCTATTTATTCCTGCTATATAATTTCATAATAATTTTTTGTGTTAAATAACATGAATCGTCAATTTTAAAAAAATTATACTATCAGATGACCTTTGCTTGTTGTAACATGCAATTGCTATATAAAAACACTAAAGAGGGGGGAATTTTTTTTACCTCATTTGATTTATTTTTCGCAGTCATAATGTATACAACTCTAAATATAATTGTTGGTCAATAAAAGATGCCACACACCTTTTAATTGAGTAAAATGAGAGTGAAAACATAAAAAGAATGACATAGTAAAATTTATTTGGTTTTAGAGTAGTGTAACGTGTATCTCTATAAATTCGATACAATCTGTATTCTTCACATAATGACCAAGGAATTTTTTAGAAAAAAATGCATAAGTATCTCCTGAGCTATAGTCGGATTTTCAACTATACACTTTATTTTCACGGCAGTCCTATTACCCTCGAACAATCAAATATGTGCAAAGTGGTAAAATATACGTGCCTGAAACGTGTATTTCTCACTAAAAAACTTTTTTCCACCTTTTTCTCCTTCTTCCTTACTGTCTCCAGCCAAAATGCAAAAGCCTCATCTGAGCTCCAACTCCAAAATATTGACAATCTGGACGTCACCATATTTTCTTTACATTATGGCTTTTTGTTAAGTAATAAATTGTAAAATTAGTAACTTTGCTTATGGGACAATTAATGATTAAAAGAAAAAAAAAATTAATTCTTCCATTCATGATATCAACACATCTCACTAGACATGAACTTCGATAGGTCTAACATATAGTATTTTTTGAAGCTGGAAGTAACCAATTTGCAGTGCCCTTCTTTCGAAAAAATAATCGAAAATGCCATTTTTTTCGGTGAAGATTTTCATGTGTAAGTATTACACACACTTCATCTTTTTCTTCTTTTTTCACTTCAATTTTTTGTCGAAAATGACGGATTTTGGCACTCATTTACTCTGTCTGCATATTCGTTTCCAGTGCCGCTCTCTATCGAGCTTCATTAATCCAATCATCTCCTCCGTCTTAAGATTCAAGCTTTCCAGTCCAATTTCTTCATCCTAAATCTTTCCTTTCCAAAACTCACTTCTGGAGCTCCTCTTGATGTTAAGAATTTAGGAATTACAAAATCCAATCGTCATCAAGGTACATTTTCTACCTTTATTTAATTTAAAAGAAAGAAGAATTAAAATGAAGCAAATGAGAAAGCTTGAATTTTGCCTTTTTATATCTATTTTAGTATCACGGAGGAAGAAAATGATAATAATGGGTGAAAATGGAGTAACTATAAAGATGACAGGTCCCACCGAAATTTGTGTTAGCATTGAGTAGACACTTAGGGAGGAAATAATTTCATTTTAAAATAATTCAAGGGGTAGTAGGACCCTTACAAAGTAAAAGTGTGTAGAGGGAGATCCTCGACAGGTTCGAAGGACTTTTTTTATGCTTTTTCCCAATCTTATAGTAAAACTCACTAAAGTAAAAATAACTTCTAGTCTATATTTTTGACTTTGCAAATAATAATAATAATAATAACAACAACAACCACAATAATAAAAAGATCAGAAATGCTTGTGACACCATTATCATTATTGCAATACCCATGATCCATATACAACCCCAAAAAAGAAAGCAAGAGAAATGACTTTTAAGTAAAAGTTGTATACAAACACAAAGTAATATTGGATCAAATGCATTAAACAAAAGCTTGCCAAACTTGCCCACCAACTCTTGAAATTGGATAGAGATATTTATAATATCGCCATCGTCTTAGTATGCATGTGGTTACATGAACATTTGTTGAAAATATTTGGTATTTCAACAACAGATAATAAAAGATACTTTAGAAACTTACCACAAGTAGTTGGGATGAAACCAATGACCACTATATTTATATAGAAAGAGAGATTGATTGGAAATTGGTTGCAGGTCAAGTAAGGAATTGAAAGAGTACAATAAAATAGTAAATTAGATACAATTTAATATTCAAAACTGTATAGTAATTACTTTTATGATTGGACTCTGTTTCTAATTTGGGATGCTCACTTCTAATTTATAATTACATTTCTCGTCCCTTATTTAAGACTCATAATGATGTATAGGGAAGCACATATATTTATTGCACATTCAAGTTTATTTACTTGTCCTTCTAAAAAGAAGTTTGTTTATATTTAATTGTTAATTTTATTTTAATATAAAAATATTTATCTATGTAATTATATTTGTGCAACCAAATATGACATATGAAATTACAATTTAACTACATTATGACAAATAAATTTGTCTACGTAAATATAATATTTTGTTACTACTAGACTGTGCAATTACTATGGTAGTAATTGTACCATCCAATTACAAGGTGTCTCTCCAACAGACTTGGTGAAAATAAAAGTATAATTGAAAAAAAAAATACACTTTAGAACTATTTGCTTAGTCATGTTATTACGCTTGTATGTCTAGAGCCGGTAAGAGTCATTTTAGAGTCTATTTGGGTTGGTTGACTAAAAGTAGTTGATAAGTAGTACTTCAGTATTTGATGATAGGGTGACATTAAAAGTCATTTTAATTAAGTGTTATATTAAGGTTTCTTTTCATCTTACATTCTTCTAAGATGAGTTTGAAGAACACTTTCTCTAGTTTTGTGAAAGAACTTTAGTGGGGTTCTTTTGTTTTGGCTTGAGAGGTTCAGAACCTTCAATGAGAGAGAGAAATATCACTTAGGCACGTACTTGCAAGAAGAGACTGAAGCAGCAATTACACTATTTATTTCAACTTTCCTGTTGAGTCTTACATAAAATGAACCCAACATTTAGAAACACACAATGTAAACCAAGAAAAACCGGTAAACGTCACAATTTCAAGGTCAGCCTACAGAATATCTGAAAACTTGTCTATTATGCATCAGTTGCAAGAGAATTGTCTGGAAGACATGTATACAGACCTTGTAAGGAAATGTAACAGAAAATAAATAATATGAAACTTCAACACCTGTTTGGAAGCAAGAATGGATTAAGTTTGGGTTTTGACCGTCTTCCAAAGCTTCACCCACTCAACCATGGAATCAGCTGCACGAGTGAACACAGGATCTATTTGCCCCAGCTGCTCCTTCACGGCTGCAGCAATCTCAACCACGCAATCTTCTGCTGTATTTGCAGCCGGACTCAATCTCATTGATTGAAAGAATGGAACAACTTCTTCCATCAGCTTCACCCCCTCCCACTCTTTCTTCAAACTCTCTACGGCATCACCTCTTTCTTTCCTCCACACGTATGGAAGCCCAGTTTTCACGCCATATCCCAAGTGATCACACACAACCTTAACACACATTCCGGTCCATATATCCTCCACAGTTTCCCACCTGAACTTTCCTTCTTTTGCCAGCCTGAAAGATGGTAGCAAAGCAGGTCCCACCAACTCACGATCAAATGCTATGTTGATTCCACTCAGAGGCATCATTGCCCTAGCTGGTACAGTGAGGACAGCATCAACATATCGAGTGTTCCTCAGCGCCGGCTTGAGGGCTTGTGTAGGTGCATCAAGATCTGCTAAATTAAGACACAGTCCACATGACAGAGCACACGAGACACCGCTTCGCAAGCTAAATGGGTAGCCACGAACAAAATCAGCTCCTTTACGGAAAGGATCATAGAGGGTATTAAAGAAAAATGGGGTGGCAGGAGTTGAAAGGTTATTGATGTGTTGGGCATTGGCATCGACTTGGTTACCCTCATTATCCTTAGCTGGAATGCAATCATCATCTATTGAGATGACATATTTCTTCTTTGACAAGAGATAGCCAAAATATCGGCACGAATAACCAGAGAAAGTTACAGCTTTTGAAGTTCCTATAATTCGTTGAATATCAACTTTTGTATAGGCATCATAATTAAATCCACCTGGAATTTTAAGTTCTTCTTTGAGGTCAGGATCTTGAATAATTATCAGGTGAAATCGGGAGAATACTGCTCTCCATTCTTCCAGAAATGAAGTAAGATCTGGTTGAATTGCAGCTATCACAATATCTACCTCATCATCTCTGACACTGACTAGCGACATTTTTTCAGGCTACAACGAGTAAGAGCAAAAAACAGGTTTCGTTGTCTTGAGAAACGGCCAGAGCCTTTTGCAATAATTTGCTTGCTATCAAAACAATATCAATACTTCTCAGAGCATCCTGAAAAATTAGATTCTTATAAGGATTCTGGAATGATGCAACAGAAGGACTTAAATACAAAAAACTTACTAGTAGGAAGCACAGGAGTAAGAACACATTGGATGTTAAATGCGTCAATTAGAGAAAGGATTTCTTCTTTCCCAGTTGCAATAAACAGCTTCAAAATCTTTTCGTTTAGTTTCCCAGCTCTCAATGTCCTCTGCCAAAATAAGTATTAAGACTGTTATCACATGTTAACCTGCTCCAACATGATTAGCTAGACGGATCTTCACGAAAAATTTCAGAGTTAGTCATCAGATCTACCACTATGGAGAGGTTTTCCAGTTTTCACTTAGCGCCACTCATCATTCGATTTCTGTTCCACATTTCATTTACACAACATGGACAATCATGTAGACTGGACATATTGAAGTGACCGAAAAAAAAGAAAAAACTCCCCTTATATTCTTTGGATAAATATCACAACCCAGTATTTCTTTAATATGCTGTCTAAGGCTAGGCCACTCCTACTTTGACATGATGCAGTCTGACAATAAGTTGCTGAACTAAGATTGTTTTTATAGTGAATTAAGATATTCTTGTTAAGCAAAAGTGTCAGATAAATCCCATACCCAACCAAGTGCAAGCTAAAAAAAACAATGTGTCTTTGCTCTCTTTGATCTGGATTGGTATATTACTTACAAAAGAACAATCCAAATTTAATAAACTCAGAAGTCTTAAAAAACTGACCCAAGAGAAAGCCACAAAATTCTTTCAGCATTCATGATAATTGAACACTGGTTACAACAAGATAACAAGGGGAACCCCGAACCAACAAAATGCATCAGAATCAGATCACAACACAGATAAATTACATAAGCATCCTTCATTATCCAAAAAGATTAAACCTGCCCCAAATTGACAGATGAAAACCCCATAAATTACAAAGGCAAACAGAAAAAGTAGCTGTAAGTGTGTAAGCTCAGAGATAGATAGATAGATGCAAGCCACAAATATACTTCCTTTAATTTACATCTCAAAATTTGCACCAATTAAACTGGATAACAAAAAAGAACCCACAGATCAGAACAAAGATAAATTACACAAGCATACTTGAAAATCCAAAAAGTTTAAAACTTGCCCCAAATTGAAAGATGTAAAACCCCTAAATTACAGAGGAAATCTCAAAGATAGATAGCTAGCAAGTCAAGCTACAAAGCTAATTCCTTTAATTTACAATTCAAATATTTAGCATCGACTACACTGGATAACAAAAGCCCACAAAAGAAAAACCTAGAATATGCATCAAGAATCAGATCACAGCACAAACAAGTTAGAAAAAAAAAAAGACCCATAATCTTACTTGATGATAAATCCAAAGTGATTCAAATTGACAGATGAAACAATAAAAAATAAAATATTAAGTAAGAAGTAATAAAGAAGAAAGTGAAGTGGGAGTTACCAGGAAAAGGTCAAGAAGGATGTGTTCAGGCAAGAAAGAGAGATCAGAAAAGGAAGAAATATGGAGGAGGGCAGAGTCAATAGCGAGAGAAAGAAGGGAAGGCGGGTCGGTTCTCATTCATTTATTTATCCCCTTTACTCACTCCGATATTTGCTAACACATGTGACAGAGCACTTGAACAAAGCAATCACTTGTTTACATCTAAAGATTTGTGTTGTCTGTCAATGGAGAGAAGTTGTGTTGGAAGCTACCTAGAAATTCGGAGAAGAAAAAAAAATCTTGCCTATTCTATAAATTTCAGAAATTCCATAGTGGGTCATTCTATTATTTTGTTATTGTTATTATTATTATTAAAAAATTTAATAATAATGTTAGTTTTCTTCATCGTAGATTTTTAGTTGTTGTTTTTTCGCTAGGATGGTATTACTATTGTTTACCTGTAAAACAGTACAGTTAAATTTATACGTGATTTCTAGACAAGTGAGCTAATTTGATTCAGAAATAATAAAATTGAAGAATAATACGATACTTAGCCTCAAAATGTAGATAAAATTTTGGGAGCAAGACTCCCGGCCACAACAATTATGAGATTAAAAAGCAAAAAAGTAAATGATATAAAAGTTTGTATAAAACGTAGTAAAAGTTTGCCGGAAAATTCATCCCTTTCACAATGATAACTGAGTTCTCTATTTATAGCTATGTCATGGATTCAGCCCTTTTACAATGATAACTGAGTTCTCTATTTATAGCTATGTCTTGGGAAGGAGATCCTAGGATCGTGCCCTCCTTTAATGTTAATTATGAGGGCCATTGATGAAGGTGTAACAGTGGAAATAAATGTCAAATTTCTTGTAACGGGCTGCCGTTCCTAATACTGCAGAATATTCTCTATTAAATGCTACCGGACGCAAAGCATTCAATACACTTTTATGAACATTCTCTCCCGGTAACAAATGAAATAGCTGCTTTCGGTGACCATCTCCGTCTTGGATTCCACGTGTCCTTCCTTTAAGTGACCACGTGTCATATCATATTTTTTTCTATACTAATAGCCCCCCTGCTTTCCGGTGACACAATCAGGAAAGTTGGTAGAAATACTCCTTTCAGCGAGAATTACTATAATTCTCTTTGCAGGCCTCTGAAGGTTGATTAGACGCACGTCTCTCCGCATTTAATGTTCCGAACATGCGTTATCCCACGATTTAGCACAACATTTGCCCATTATCAAGGTAACCATGGCCATGAGTTTAGCCGCCAAAATTTTACTTATACACATCACCTTTCTCCTATGTACTTCATAATTTCTCAAACTATTAACTTGCATCTTTGTTTTCTATTTCTTTTCCTAATTTTCTTCGAACCAAAACCCTTCTCCGTCTTCTTATTCAATGACTTCTTCTTCCAAACGTGCTGCCTCTTTAAAGAAAAAGAACAAGGCTGAGGATTCTGCTCCTCCAACGGTAGGTTCCATCATCCCCCGAAGTCTTAACACCACAAAAGACTTTGAAGAGAAATTCCCTATTTCTAACCCTCATTCACGGGCTGTCAGTAGGTATCCTTCTTCAATTTGCCTTTCCAGTATTCCTACTGTGAAGGAAGACTGCCGCTGTCATGAGTTGGACATCATTGCTCCTGATCTATCAGAGCGAGTGACCCTTCCCAGGGAAGGTTTTACATATTTTTACATGTATCCCTTTACTTTGGGTGCGTTTTCTTTGAGCGGAGAGCTTGATTCCGTGATTGCGGAGTTTTGCCTTCGTTACCAAATATGCTTGGCACAAGTGAGTCCTTCTGAATCGTGGAGACTCTTCAAAAACATCAAATTGATCGTCCACCTTAATTCCTTTTATTTTTTCACATTTTATAAGATCACTGATTAGCCCTTGTATGTTACAACGTGCAAAAAAGTTAACAACAGCCCAGTGCTCTGTCTTTGTCAGATTAACCAGTCTCTTGTTATTAAAATTCCACCTGCCATTACGTGGAACAAAGTTATCATTATTAGCAATGGCTACATCATCTCCATCGGCCGCATTTGGTCATGAAGGAGATGTTCCTCCTCTCTAGTCTCCAGTTCAAGGGAATTTGGGGCAAAATTACGTTGCCCCTTCTGAGGATCCATCTACTTCTCCCGGGGCGCGGACACTTCTCTTCCTCCTGGTTCCGGAGACGCTGCAGTTTAGCTTTTCTTTTTCCCATTCTTGTATCTTTGCCATTTTTGTTTTTGTAAATAAAGAAACATCTTTGCTCAAGTATTGTTTGAGTCTTATTTTCGTCTGAATATCTATGCAAGTCTTTAATATTTGCATTTGCTTAAGAATTTTTCGCACGTTTTCATTTTTTGCTTTGTTATGTATATTTTCGGATGCACTTTCTTTGAAGTACTTTGATTCCGAGCATTATCCCTTTTACATGAGAGTTTGTATAAGTGTTTGCACAATTTTTACGTCTTTTAGTATACGCCTTCGGGTGCATTCTTTCCCTGAAGGTATTTTGATTTTGGGCATAAATTCTTTCGAAATCAACCGTTTAACATGAGGGTTTTTATAAAAAAGGGCCGTCTTATGTTTATGGTGCTCTTGAAGAGGACGTCTCCTGTTCATTATGGCACTAGAATACTTGTTTAACTTTCAAATGATAAACTTAGTTCATCGTTCAGACAAGAAAGAAGATATAAATAAAGGGATTTCATTTTATTTAATTCCTTGTATTTTCAAAAGATACAAAAGCATTTGTTATGATGAAAAAAGAAATTTCCATTACTTGTGGCTATCTTATACAACTTGCTTCTACAGGGCTGGCTATGCAGTCCCCGGTCTGATGACACATTTGTATTTCTAGATTTTCGTTCCCGATTGACATGGCAGTTATTGATGCCGTATTCTCATATCATTCCTCCCAGTGTTCGAATGCGAAGAATACGAATTGGAACATTGGAAGTCTTGTGCCTTCAAAGATTCTACCAATGGATTGCCAGAAAATCCTTCACTCGGTAACACATCTTACTTTCCCTCAAGAATCTATGCTATAGAGCAAAAGATTATAAACAATTCTCTAGTGATTTATGCTTGTGAACAGTCGGGTAATCTTTGCTCAATAGCAAACTTAACTTCCCAGTAGGAATTTGCTATAGAGCCAAAGACTATCTAACTATCCCCGAGTAGAAATTTGCTGATTTGCCTTGATATTAAATGTCTTATTGTTGTTGTCTTCGTAGTACGCTTTCTATCACTGCCGCATTAAAAACCTTTCCAGAAAAATTCAATTGGGACAAAAACTGAATGAAGGGAAAAAGAGTGCATCAAATACTTTCAGATTGGATATTGTTCATCAGCAATAATATCTTTTGAGGTGCGCCACGTTCCAATTGTTGTGCAATTTGTCTCCATTTTGGTTCTCCAATTTGTATGAACCTTTTCCAGTGACAGTTGAGATCCGGTAGGGCCCTTCCCACAGTGGCCCTAGCTTCCTCGCATTGAGTTCTCGGGTATTTTGGGTTACTTTCTTTAATACCAAGTCTCCTACTTTGAAATAACGGAATTAGCTCTTTGATTATAATATCGCTCCATTCTCTACTTTTGAGCTGCCATTCTTACACGCACATCCTTGCGTTCTTCGAGCAGCTCCAAGTTGATCAGCATTGCTTTGTTGTTAGATTCTTCATTTTCTTGGAAGTATCTCAAAGTAGGTTCTCCCACTTCCACTGGGATTAGGGCTTCTGCGCCATACACAAGGGAAAAATGAGTCTCTCCTGTGCTCGACTAGGCCGTTGTTCGGAAGGGCCATAGAACTCCGGGTAATTCTTCGGGCCAATTGTCTTTTGCCGCTCCCAATCTTTTCTTAAGGTTTTGAATAATTACTTTATTTATTGACTCTGCTTGACCTTTTTCGCTCGAATGATAAGGTGAAGAGGTGATCCTCTTTATCTTCAAACTTTCAAGAAACTTTGTAATTTTTGCGCCGATAAACTACGGCCCATTATCGCTTGGTATCTCTTTTGGTATTTCGAACCTGTAAATTATATTTTCCCACAGAAAGTCGACCATTTTGCATTCTCTAATCTTCTGATAAGGACCCGCTTCCACCCATTTGGAAAAATAGTCAGTCAAAACTAAAAGAAATCTTACCTTTCCAGGAGCCGGTGGCAGCGGTCCGACGATGTCCATCCCCATTTCATGAACTGCCACAGGGACAAAATCGAATTTAAGGGTTCTGCCGGTTGATGTACTAGTGGTGCATAACTTTGGCACTTATCGCATTTTCGGACAAAGTCTTTGGCATCTTGTTCCATGCGGGGCCAGTAATATCCTGCCCGTACTAATTTCAACACCAAAGAATATGCTCCCAAGTGGTTGCCGCATATTCCTTCATGAACTTCTCTCATGACATAATTAGCTTCGGACGCACCCAAACACCGGGCCAATGGGCCTTGGAAGGATTTCTATATAATTGGCCTTTCTGGAAGCTATAACAGGCAGCTTTTGTGCGTAGCGCTTGTGACGCTTTGGGATCTTCTAGCAACTTCCAGTGCTCGAGATAGTCAATTATTTCATTTCTCCAGTCCCAAACAAAACTAGCCGAATTCACCTCATAGTAACAATCTGTAACCAGGACTGACTTCATTAGTTGTACCACCGTCCCTGATCCCGATCCCTTGATTTATGTCGACGAGCCCAAGCTTGCCAATGCATCTGCTTCCGTGTTTTCTTCCCTTGGTATATGAGTAATTGACCACTCCTGTAATAGTTCTAACAGAGCCTGAACCTTTTACCACGTATTGTTGCATACGGTCCTCTTTGGGGTCAAAGATCCTGTAGACCTGATTTACCACCAACTGCGAATCACATTTGATTTCTATGACCTCAGAATCAAGTCCTGAGGCCAGTTCGAGCCCTACAACCAAAGCTTCGTACTCTACTTTATTGTTAGTTAAAGGGATCACTCTAATGGCTTGCCTTAGGGTTTCCCCTAATGGCGTGATTAAGACTATTCCGAGCTCGAACCCTTTCATGTTAGAAGCTCCGCCGCAAATAAGGTTCAAATCCCCGATGTCGATTCCGACACCATTACCGCCTCCTTGGTTGCAAGAGGCAAGATTCTCGGATTTAAGGCTGTACTTTGGGCCGGGCCCGGGCCTAAATGGGCTAAACGGGCCGGGCCAAACGGTCCCTAGCTTTGGCGGTCCCGGGCCTAACGGTCCAAATGGGTGGAACCGACCCACTGTGGGCCTAATCCCACATGGTCCCGAGCTAAATGGGCTAG